CCCTTGGAGAGAATTTTATTCACATTGCTTTACTGAGTCTCACCAGGGTACCTACCAACCTATGGTCAGAGCTTGTGCTGAGTTTCCACACCTTTTGGCCTACATCCCAAATAGGTACAGGACCACTGAGCCTTTTCATTTTTGCTCTTAATAGGAGTGTTGGAGAGAACTACACTACACATCAAGGAACCAAAACCAGACACCATTAGTTCTCTCTGGTGGCAGATTGTGTTTCTGAGTGATGCCAATGGCAAGCAGGACAGACTTGTTTGAGGTAAGGATTGAACAGAGTGACAGCTGAAGGACTGACAGACCAAGTTAAAGCACTCGCTATCAGTTATTTTTTTGGTGAGTTTTGGTGAAGAATGTTCAAAATTTAGATCTAGATGTGCTTCAAGAACATCAAGGCAGTTCAGAAATGAGCACATTTATCTCAGCAAGAAAAGGAACTGGCAGGTAATAGTAACTTTTCAAACTTCAAGCTATGTCTTGCTTTTCTACTAGTTTCTACAAATTTTTTTTCAGGTCTCAAATATTCTGCTACTGGAAAGGTTATTCTTCTTCCAAGATAACTTCCCTAAGTGCTCTTTTATATAAACATGCAGATGCAGGCACCCCTCTACATGCATTCAAATTTACATCCAATTTTTTCTGCCCAGGCAAGTAATATGGGCGATATTCAGCGTTTGGCCAGGACACAAAACAGAGGGAAAGCTGATTTATACCTTGATTTTTCCACTTATCCACTTCATTTCACTTATCCTCCTTATGCTCCAAAGGGACAGCAGAATCACATGGAATATTTCCAAGCGATGTAGTGTCTGTTAGTCCAAATCTTGGGACAACTATGCCACAATTCAGGGCATATAAGCATAGTATGGCAAGGTTGCTATAGACCCCTGATGGCCTCCTCCTGTCCCCTTGTGTCCACCCAGCATGAACCTGCACTTCTTGGTGACTGCTAAATTTAGGCTTTCCCAACCATGTCTGCCCCAAACTGGTTTAGTCAAACCTCTTCCAAATTCTGATACAGTGGGTTGCTCTCAGTTTAGCACAACTGAGAAAATGAGTTATTCTCTGCTACTGTCCAAACACTGTTTCAGTGAGATTCCCCAGACTGGGAACTCCACACTGCCCTCAGGAACTCTCTCAAATCCTACCTTTTGCATCCAGTTTTTATATTTTAAAAGCTTCCGGGGTAAGAGAGAGAAAATCTTCTTCCATATGTGTGCATAAATCCTGTTAATGCTCACAGGAATTATATCAGTTTGTTGGATGAAATATGTAACCTGTTGTGTACTATTTTATTTTCTTTCAGGTCACTCATATCTTTCACCCTTGTATCAAAATAATTGGTAGCAATGCATGACTCAGAAACATCTTTGCTGTCACACAAAGTGGATGTCAACAGTATCAGTATTTAAAAAATTACATGTAATGCTCTTTCAAATGCAAAGATGGCATGAAAAAAAACCACACAATGATGTGCTATGCATCATTTAAAACCAGATACACTCTTCTGCAAAAATTGTTGTCACTGACAGTGTTAGATGTGTGTGATTTTTTTCCCCTTTTGCTTTTTACAGCATTTAAACTTAAGGCTTTTTGGTTTTGCTTGTAGGTTTTGGGGTTTTTTTGAAACAAAGGTCACTTACTTAGCAACAGATAAATAAAAATTCAAGCATCCCCAGAAAAATCAATGAAGGTACTAAAAATCTAAGTTGATAATAAATTTTTGTTCCCCCTTCACATAGCTCAGGAATGTCAGTATTTACTGGAACCACTGTAATATCAGATATTTCAGAAGAGTATTGATTTTGCCACTGAAGTGTGACTAAAGGGATAAATAAACTGCTCTTGGGGTCAATCGATTCATTCATCTTTGCTGTTATTTTATAAGAAGTCAAAGCAGCATAAACTTTGATAAATAAATGTTATCATGAAGAAATACTATCCATATGAAGATTTTGAGAACAATGGGAACATATTTAGACTGCCGGCACTGAGCTGAAAAATCAGGATTATATTTATGCTGCTTTGAGTATTAAAAAGGAGGACAAAATATGATTTTCCACCATTGATGCACAATGCCTCGTTTGCAATTCTGAATGTGGCTTGGTGAATTAGGATGAGCATTACCGTATATGAAGCAGAATATAACCACAAGATAGGAAATACATGCTAGAGAAAAGGGAGAAGAGTCTTTATATTTGCAATGAATCTGAATCACAGTTGTACTGATGCATTCTGCTTTAAAAAGTAAAAGATGTGACAACAGCCAATATACTCAAGTTGATAAGTAATGAGAATGCTCTGAAGTGACTTTATGCAGCTTTAATTGCAAGCAGGATAATAGCTACTTCAAGAAGTCACAGGGATATTATAAAAATTACAGTGCAAAAGTCACGCAGAGCCCTCTACATTGTGATTATGATGTGAATTTAAGGTGGTAAGAGACAATTTGGACAAATACAAGGTTTGTCTATGACATAAGGAACTGCTGTCTTTGTGAGAAACTATGGGTCTATTTTTGCAAAGCTATATAGGCAAAGAGAAAAGAAATTCAATGGCATTGAGTTAAAATGATAGAGAGTGCTACACACATTTTTATATGATACCTAGGCAATAGGTGTATGCTATCTATCTAAATTAAACATTTTAGAAACTAGACATCTCTGGCCATGGCTAGTCACTCTCTGCTCTGCTCACAGTCCATGGAAGGAATCAGACACTTTCTACAAGCGGTTCTTCTTCCAAGGTCTTTGCCTAAGAAAGGCCAGATGAATCACCTTTTGGAGGCACCTGTTTTGGTCTTTTGACTATAAAAAGATTCTGAAGTGGTCTTGGACATGTAAATTTTAAACATTGCACGTGAAGGGAAATGAATCCTATGCAGAGTCTCAGTGGTAAGAAACACATCCTAAATTCACCAAAGTGAAAGAGCAGTAGGTAGTTGTTCAGCAAATGAAGTTGCCTTTCCTGTAGTCATCAAATTAAAAAAAACAAAAACCAAACCAAACAAAAAAAAACCCAAACAAAAATCCCAAAGCAAAACAAAAACAAGACCCCCCAACCAAACAAAAAAAATAACACCAGCCCAAACAAACAAAAAACCAAACACCCCCTCCCTCCAAAAAACCAAAACAACTCACCAAAATCCAAACAGAAGTGCCCAAAAAACCCAAACCCAACAAAAACCAGGAACACACTGATGGTTTTAAACTTTTAGCAGTTTTAAATGGTTGCATGAGGTTCAATGAAATGACGACATTGAAAAAGCCATCTCTCCGTGTCTTTTTTTCTTAAAATCCAGATTTATACTCCTCAGCGGGCTTGTAAGAAACCCATGGAAGAAGAGCTAAAGAGGCTACCACCTTTTAGGCAGTAAGAAAGCACAGGGTTAGTCAGAAAAGTAAAGGTCTTGATTTCACCTCAGGCAGCATACTAATTCTGTAAAATTTGCAAGGCAGTGCCCCACTCTCCCTTGAAGAGCAAGAATTCCTAAGACTCCTTATCTAAGGTACTCAGCCACAGGGGAGACACTGGCAGACAGGGAGACACAGAAACAAGGAAAGAGAACCTTATGAAGCTTCAGCATGACTGGCTGCAGAAGTCTGCAAGTGGCAGAGGTACTTTCTTATGAAAGGAAGAGGTTAGACACAGAGGCTTTTCAAAGCCTGAAGGACTACAAAAGCACAGCTAGCTAAATAAAAGAAAAAAAGATTGTGTTAGGTGGTTAATGCAAGGAAACTGAAGGGCATGAAGAGAAGAGAGCTGACAGAACTCAATAAACAAGCAATTTTCCTTTTGGTTTAAGTATGTAAACTTCTGTTGAAAGAAGTAAACTGACACAGTCCAGGGCCATGTTTTTTAATCTGCATGAAAAAAAATTTGATTTGACATATCAGTTGATATTTGAGAAGTACCACTGTACCTCAGTCTTGTCACATAGCTCCTATTGCCTTCTTGAGTCCTTCCAGTCCTGCTGCCTAAGGTCAAAGTAAGGCAGCCCTTACATATCCTACATCTTGCAGAGGCATGCCATGGACAGGTCAGGGCAAGGAGAACTGACATCCAAGTTCCTTCTGATGACATCAGGGCTCCACACCCCACACAGCTCCTTAGATGACCACCTAGAGCCATGGGACATGTACCATTCATCTCAGAGATCTAAGAGAAAATCCTGGGAGCTGTTCACCAGATAACTATGTTTTATTTCTGTCTTTGGTAAGAGAGGCTACAAATCCTAACTTGCTGTGTAGGCTTTTACACTGGCAGAGCCTTAATGAAAGCCCGTGAAAGCAGCTACTGCTTCTGGCTACCACATGGCAAACTTCACTGGTGCACAGGTGACACTCCTTTGCCAAGCAGAGACAACTACCAGACAAGAAATTAATCCAGACAGAATTGAGGAGGGGAAGATGGTGCTTTACATTTCCATGACAAGGATCTGCCAGCTTTAGGGTCCATCCCAGGCACTCATCCAGACCCTTCTTAGTGAAACCTGCCTCAAGAAAATGTTCACTTGTCTGAATCTGCAGGTGTATATGACTTCAACTTGTTGAATGAACCAGAGCTGGGCACTAAAGAAAACCAGCTACAGCCAATCTTTATGTATTCATCCTGTTTAACAGGATTAACAAAGAACAACTTAATGCTGGTTCGAAACACCAGTACTTCTTTTCTTTCTTCTGAATGTAAATGAAATAGAGACAAATATTGTGCACAGCATATGTGTGTTTTACTCTTTGTCCTGCCAGTAACAGCTGCCAAGTGGTGATTTATTTGCTCCAGAAAACCATTAATTTTCCAACAGTAACCAGAAACAAACAGTAGAGATACAATATTTCCCATGTTCCAGCAACAATATTCATGTATGATATACAAATATTATTCAGATATCAGTATATATTTGGTATAAACATATTTTAGTATAAATGCATTTCCTCATTTTTACTTCCCACTGGTTTGTATATGACACAGGGTATGCTTCCTCAGGCCTGGTATGCTGTTTTGGCTCAGGAACTGGACAGCTATACAACTCTTCCCCTTCTCTAATGCTGTTCTGTGAAGATCTTCCGTATGTCTGGGGAAGACGACACATCAACCACACCTCGGAAAGGAAAAATCAGTCCCACAGCCACTATATGTGGTATTATTTCACTGATGTGCTTTGATATAAACCTGGCTTAACACCAACAGATTGTCAAGTTGTTGCTGTTACAAAGCTTTGAAGAAGCAGAATGTTTCTGAGCCATAACACATAGGACAGGGAAGGCAACTGACTCAAAAGAGAACAGAAATCCTGCTAGCAAGGGGATGAAAGGGCCACTGCTGGGCAGAGCTCCACAGATGTGCCCTGGGACAGTGGCTGAGGGATGTGGGGTGAGGTAAGGGTGCAGGCAGGCTCCAGGGAGATTGCCCTCTCCCAGCAATGGGAGGCAAACCTCCCTCCTCAGCAAGGCTGATAGCAAGTCTCTGCTGACTCCCACAGAAGAAGGAACACGGGCAGTGAAGCTGCCTTGCCTGGCTTGTTTTGACATATGCTATACCCATCAGTTATTTTTAAATCATGTTGTTTGACAAATCTGCTGAATTCATTCACAATTTCTGATTTGCGAGCTGAGTTTCTCTGTAACTTCTAGGAATGTATGCAAATGGCAACATAATGCTTTCTGGTTTGCTCTGTATTTAAAAATCTCTACAGGTTGTGATTCTTCTTACCTATCTGTTCTACTTGCTGGCAACTGTTTTCGACAGGAAAAACAAGCTAAATAATTAACTCATCCACTTTCTTACACTTTAAGTGATGTATTATTTAAGAGTCCAGGCATTAAATTCTCAATCCTGAAAACATGCCCTTGGGACCAGTTGCTTTGAAGTCATCTGCAAAGTTAGGCAGGTATACAAATGCTTGGATCCTAAAGAAGGTTACCTTTATTGTAATGGTGAGCAATAACCATAATGAATCTGTTTGGTATTTTATCATACATTACAATATAGCACCTGTTCAACAGCTATCAGAAAAGTAATTGTATTTCAGTGTTTGTATTCTTTTCATTTGATAAATGAGTTTGTTTTATACATTTGCTTTATGCACTGAAAGAATATTAAAGCAGATCTGTTTAACATCATGTTTGGAAGCGTAAGGGAATTGTTCTTTGGGAGGCTTCACTCCTGCCAGTATTAAAGTATTATGAAGAGCTAAATGAACATATGGTTAAGCCAATTTAAATGCACTTCTAATGAACAAATGAACACACTTCGCTGCATCAGTTAAAAGCCAAAAATCCCTGAATCTTCCCTTCTAGCATTATCTGCCTGTGTTACCATCATGAACACCATCTATGTTATCAGCTTGAATTCTTACATCCCAACCAGCAGAAAATCAATTAATTGGGAAGCCTGCTGAATAATATATATTGTTTTACCAAATAATAAAAAGTAGGTCATTAAGGATCTGGCCTTGCTTACCAGCAGGACAGCAAAAGGCCGAATTTTGCTCTTGTATACACAGACTGCAAAACCCATGGTGAGTGTCTGAGCTATTTAGCAAGGATGAAATCTGTTCTTAGATCCACTCAACTGGCCACCCAGAGGTAGGGCTTATTTTGACTCTTTCTTTGATATGGTTGGTGCTGGTTTTCTTTTAGTTAGCAGTAATGTAAAGGCTGCTTAACTTTTTCGTAATACCTCCAGAAACTGAAGAGCTCTTCGCTGCTTCTGGCTATTCAGATAAACTCTCCCTTCCTCATCCAAAGAATCACACTATCAGCACAAACTCAAGATAAAACTTAACTGTTACTGATCCAGTTTCCTGGAAAAAAACAGCACATTATAGACACAGCAGATGTTACTCCACTGAAAGACATCTTGTGTTAAAACGTGAATATTCACAGCACTATTTCTGCCTGGTCCCAAGCTGATTCTAGGAATCTCCTAAAGGGTCTTTAAAAAGCAATGAAAGTCAGTGCCATGACTTCAAGGATTACCGTGCTTTGCAAATGAACATTTGTGCAACAGACACAAGAAACTCTGGCTGAACTAGCAACAGTTAAGCATTTCAAGAGCTTAACTTTTTCAAGAACAAGAAGGGCAAAACACCTCCCTCCTCAAAACCCAAACCAGTCCAAAAGAAGCCCAGCATGTAAGAACCATTCTGAAATGCATGCTTCTTCTGGAGACAAAGTTCTTTAAGAAATATAGTGGGAAATTAATCATCAAAACCTGTTTTGTTCAGCAAGGTCCCTTATACCTGCAATCCTTGCTAAAGGGGGATCATCTCCCCCTGCAGATGTCACTGACAGGTGGTAAAGACTCATATTGAAACATCCACATTCACATCATCTCGATTCACAAAAATCACCAGCGAGAAACATGCACTGAGAATATGTCACTCATCTGGTCTGTCTTAAATGTCTGCCTTAAGTGAACTGAGACCAGTGAGGCCCCTTTCTCTCCTGTGACAGCAAGGACAGTCTAGACAATTAGCTCAGGTGTCAGCAGTGAAATCTGATCAGTTGAGTCCCATCTTTACAAACCATGATGGAAAAGGAAGAATGAGTTGTTTCTTTGTGTGGAAAGATTTGGGCAATAACTTCAAAAAGTTAATAAAATCAATTCCTAGCACCATGTAGGACAAGCTGGCTTACCAATTTAGTGGTCACAGTTAATGCAAACCCCAGGAAATCTGTATGGCATTGCAAGGTACTCACATGTTAAATAAATACTGTGAAAAATTGTAGTTAAAAAAAAATTGGCTGCAGGTACACAAGATAATATTAAAATACCAGTTATAAATACATTTCTTAAGAATTTGATGGAAAAGAAAGTTTACTGGTATCCTTAGGGATTTAGCTTCTCATGCACAGGGAAGAGACTATAAGCAGAAATTTGCTTTGGCCCACAAACACAAAGCATCTCTATGTAAAAAAAGTTCAAAATATTCCCTGAATATCACAGTCAATCTGTCTATTCTGGAGCATGTGTGCCCAAAGTCTTTGTAAGCTGCAAGCTGTCCTCCTCACCAGCCATGCAGGTTCCTGACCTGACATTGGGTCTTGATGTCCCACTTGTAAATCTGCTGCCTTCCAGTGGCATCTGTCTGCAGGTGACAACATAAAAACTGACACTGTATTGCTGTGGAGCAGAGGAATTCGGTCTCTCCTTTATGTGTTCTGGTCTGCTTAGGAGATGGGCGGAGAAGACAGGAAATTAACTTTATTGATTAACCTAAGTTATCCAAATAATTTACACAAATTGAGTAGAAGCCACTGAAATTAATGTATTTTGGTCAGGCATATAAGCTATATACCTAGTTCTCCTCTCCATAAGAGGGAAAACTAAGTTCATTAACTATTCATTAACCAGGTCAGCTGAGCATCCCTTTCCACGTGTGTTCAAGTCAATTTGAGTTAACTGGATAATAACTATACTTTAACCATGTTTGCTGGCCTCCGATTTCATTCAGTTTGGTATTCATAGAATAACAGAATCATTAGGGCTGAAAAAGACCCTTAGGATCATTGACTCAAACCATTAATCTGGAACTGCCAAGTCCATCACTAAACCATGTCCCCAAGCTCCACATCCACATGTCTTTACCTTTAGGAGTGGTGATTCAACCACTTTCCTGAGCAGTCTGCTCCACTGCTGGACAACCCTTCTGGCAAAGAAGTTTTTCCTAATATCACATCTAAACCTTGCCCGGTGCAATTAGAGGCCATTTCCTTTCATTCTGTCACTTGTTACCTCAGGGATGAGGTCAATTCCTGCCCAGCATTTCAGGTGGTTGTAGAGTGAGAAGGCCCATCCTGAGCCTCCATTTCTCCAGGCTAAACAACGCCAGCTCCCTCAACTGCTCCTTGTAAAAGTTGTGCTTCAGACCCTTCCCCAGCTCTGTTACCATTCTCTGGACACGCTGCAGCACCTTGATGTCCTTCTTGTAGTGAGGGGCCCAAAAGTGCATACAAGACTCAAGGTGAGGCCTCACCAGTCCCAAGTACAAGGGGGCAATCCCTGCTCTGCTCCTGCTGGCCACACAATTGCTGATCCAGGCCAGGTCACCATTGGCCTTCTTGGCCACCTGGGCCCACACTGGCTCATGTTCAGCTGCTGTGGACCAGCACCCCAGGTCCTTTTCCACTGGGCAGCTTTCCAGCCTCTCTGCCCCAGCCTGTGGCACTGCTTGGGGTTGTTGTGGCCCATGGGCAGGACCCAGCACCTCACTTTGCTGAACCTCAGACTTCTGGCCTCAGTCCATGGATCCAGCCTGTACAGATCCCTCCGCAGAGCCTTCCTACCCTTCAGCAGATCTCTCACCCAGCTTGGTGTCATCTGCAAACTGACAGAGTGCCTTCAATCCCCTTCTCCACATCATGGATAAAAATATTAAACAGGACTGCTCCAATACTGAGCCATGGGGAACCCCACTAGTGACTGGCTGCCAACTGGATGAAGCATCCTGAAGAAGCTCTTTCACAACTCTAAAGTTTCTGGTCTCTTTCTTTCCCTTCTCCTCTACTCTTTAATGCTCTCTTTACACTTTTTTTTCCCTGCTCTTTCACAACTCTAAAGTCTCTGGTCTCTTTCCCTTCTCCTCTACTCTTTAATGCTCTCTTTACACTTTTTTTTCCCCTTTTCATATTTTAAACAGGCTTTCAGGTAGATACAACTTCTACTTATTGTAAAAATTGCTGAATCAGAACTTGTCAGGAAATTTTAATTTAGCTTTTCCACATTCTATGGAACAAGCAGAACTATGTACTGACACCATAGCAGAAATGCCAAAATGATGGTATTTATGGCTCCAGAAGCCATGATTCCATAATTCAGGTAATATTACACTGTGTTTTTATAATATAGTTTGTCTTCAGCAATGACAGTTATAGGGTTTTGAATAATAATAGACATTTTTAAAGACTATACTAATATCTTATCTTCCCATTTGTTATTTCCTTGTCCTGCCTGTTACTGTAATATAATGGTCATGCATTATGGACATAAAAGACTCTATTCCATCATGAGATGTGCACTTCAGATAGATTATCTGCACAAACTTTTGCCAAACAAATTAAATAGCACAAATACATCCAGGCCCATAAAACTCCTACTCCCCCCTTTCAAAAGCATGACTTTCCTTCTGAACCACATGGGACCAGTGATCCTGGGTGCTGTATTGCCCACTGGTCCATTCAGGCTCAGATGCTCAACAATTTACAAACTGGGACACCTGGGTCTCGGAGTCCATCATATAATGTAAAATGAGACCCAGAAGAGAATCAGTGGCTGGTGAGATGGACAGCAAACCCTTTACCAAGAGGAGTGGGTCCTGCCAGCTGCACAACCCATTCTGCCATCAGCTCCAGGCATGGTCACAACTTCTGTGGTGCAAGCACTTTCTCCCTTGACTACCCTGCACTCTGCAACCTCTGCCATGCCTACATGTCCCTGAATGACATGCCTGAATGATTACATGATAGGCTCTTGTTTATGCTGAAACCCCTTGTGTGAGGACACAAGGCTTGACTCCATTTTCATCAGAAGGCTGATTTATTATGTTATATATTATATTAAAATACTACATTAAAACTATACTAAAAGAACAGAGAGAAGATCAGAAGGCTACAAAGACAAGAATAGAATAGGAATGCATAACAAAAATCCTGTGACTGCTCACAGCCTTGGCACAGGTGGCTGTGATTGGTCAGAACCCAAAACATCAACAATCCACATGGACCAATGGAAGATGCACCTGTGGCATTCCACAGCAGCAGATAGTTATTGTTTACATTTCTTTCCTGAGGCTCTCAGCTCCTCAGGAAAGGAAAAATCCTAGCAGAGGATTTTTCACAAAAATATCATGGCTACATCAGGCTACATGGCATGTTCCAAAGTCTTTGCAGCTGCTTCCAGTCCGTCTTGTTTCTCCCCTGTATCACGGCTAATTAATTTTATATTACAAGCCAGCCACTTCTGAAGGATCTGCAGAGGTTCAGATTAAATGCAAAATTTTATCCTCCTTCATGTGCCCTTGATAAAGATGATTTTATAGCCTTTATGTCAGATGTTTTGGGCACTAGTCTTGCCTTTATTTTAGGCAGGTCACTAAGTTTGCAACAATATAGGCTGGGCTTTTTTTCCCCCTTCTGTAAAGTAACAAGTACTTGGATTTTATTTTCTTTCTAACCATTATTTGACTATATTAGATACAGATTCATTACTGTGAAGTACACAAACAACAAAAAAATTAAGTCCAATTACATAATGATTTTTTGAGCATACCATTAAGCCTACTAGCAGTAGGAGAAAAACCCATAAAATGCATAACTTAAAGTGTAATAGGCCAAAACAAAGCACAATGACTGGACAAATTAGAATATATAAATGGAACAGACACAACTAAATGATCCAAGAAGGTCCCCATATTAAAAAGAGAGAGAACCCAAAACATCAACAATTCACAGAGCTTAGACCCAATTCAGTGTGCCACAGGCACCTCAGTCTCTCTCACATGGGAGCCCAGGATCTTTAGAGAGAATTTTCTGCACCTTGAAGTTACCTGTCTCTGCACACACTGCATCCTTTTTTACTACTGGATGTGCCAACATGATGCCAACATGAACAAATTGGGCTGCTGTGTTCCCCACTTCCTCCCACCAGAGTCACAAGTATTTCCATGTTCCTCACCTTGGGGAAAAGGGATGCTCCCCAGTTGGGAAAATACTGACTTGGTCTATAATGGGACTTAGTTATCACCCAGTATGGGCACCAAGATTGCACTGAAGTGGCTCAGAAACCTTTTTTTTTCAGGCACACTCAATGCCCCTGCATTGCGTAAAGTCCTGCAATGAGCCTCCCATCCTGCAGAGAGAATTTTCTGCACCTTGAAGTTACCTGTCTCTGCACACACTGCATCCTTTTTTACTACTGGATGTGCCAACATGAACAAATTGGGCTGCTGTGTTCCCCACTTCCTCCCACCAGAGTCACAAGTATTTCCATGTTCCTCACCTTGGGGAAAAGGGATGCTCCCCAGTTGGGAAAATACTGACTTGGTCTATAATGGGACTTAGTTATCACCCAGTATGGGCACCAAGATTGCACTGAAGTGGCTCAGACACCTTTTTATTCAGGCACAGTCAATGCCCCTGAATTGCATAAAGTCCTGCAATGAGCCTCCCATCCTGCTGCTCTCACCATGAGGAGCCTTTTAGTAAAAAACAGTAGGGCTGGTGCCACAAAACACATGGCCTTCAGGAGAAGGTGTTTCCTTTCAGCCAGGGCCTTGATGGTAAGTATGCTTTACTAAAGTTAAGGAACACAGTGCCAGCAGTCTGAAGAGCCACTATTAAAGAGGAAAAAAAAAAACAAACAGTGGGGACAGATGTAGAGCCCTCTGCCCTTAGGGAAGGGGTGGTAGCTGGCAGAAGCTGAGAGCATTCCTAGCAGAGACAACATGAACTGAAAACCTGTCAGATGAAGGAGAGACTGAAAATGGGCTCTTTTCCAAGTGAGTGATCTCATTGCTGACCTGTTCCTGAACAAGGAGTGAAGGAGAAAGATAGTAACAGGCAGCACCTCAGACAGCTTTGCCTTGAAGGAGTTTGCCAGGGTAGCTAGTGGCTTGAGCAAGTGAAATTTGAGTAGCTAAGTGTTACAGAGACAATGATTTTGACTACCTGGAGTTCCACCTTTGATCAGCCTTGCGGGGTCTCATTCTTGTGGCCACTGATGCCAGCTTCCTGGTGAAGTTCTCCACCTGCTTCACCAAAGAAGGATTTTCCTCCCTGATCAGTTTCATCTTCATTTTGTGGTGCTTTCAAGATGATCAAGCTAGCAGATCATGATCCCATCAACTTCCAGTTCAAGGTGGACTATATAATGAATTACTCTTGTGCCTGTAAACTGCGAGGTAAGGGAGTGTTCATTACCTCTCCAGTTTGTAGGTAGGAAGAGGCCTCTGCTCACCTTTTCCCTTGTGCCACAGCCCAGATAATTACTCTTGTGCCTGTAAACTGCAAGGTAAGGGAGGTAAGGGAGTGTTCATTACTCTCCAGTTTGTAGGCAGGAAGAGGCCTCTGCTCACCTTTTCCCTTGTGCCACAGCCCAGATCACAGATAGATTATTCCTTCTTTATCAGTTGCCTTCATATATCCTATCTTAGTCTCAGGTATTGCAGCAGACCTTTCATTAGGGGTAGAAATGAGCCAAGACACAGACTGTCACTTAACAACCTGAAAAGGGTCCCAGTTCATTCTTCTTTACAGCTTAGCCATCCTGTCTCTGACTACAGCAAGCTTCTACTCTTGGCTTCTCTGACAACTCTGACTGCTGGCTATTTCCTACTGGGATACAACTGCAAGTATTTCCTTGCTGCCTCTGACCACAGGCTTTTACCTAGCTTGACTATGACTGCAGGCTCCAACAGCAGGCTCTAACTATATCAGGCCCAGACTGACCTTTTGCAGCAGCAAATCTCTTCCTTGAGTCATGCTTCTTTGCATCTCTTTAGCTCATTCCTCCTTCTATATCAGGCCCAGACCGACCTTACAGCGGATCTTTCGCAGCAGCAAATCTCTTCCTCGAGTCATACTTCTTTGCATCTCTTTAGCTCATTCCTCCTTGTTCTTCCTCAAAGCTGGTCCACCTCCTCCAACCTCTCCCTAACCAGCAAGCCAACCCACCCCTTTTATCACACTTATCTTCATTAGTCACAGCTGCAACCCATTAAGGGCAAGGCTGTTCTTCTTTGGTAATTAGAACAACTGTGACTTATTAGGGGCCAGGTCACTTGTAATCCCTTCTTCTACACCTACAGCTAAGTGTAGCCCAGAGTTAGAGGCACAAGCCTTGGGGAGGAGAGCAGCCTGAAAATACAGCCCTGTTTGTAGGATTTCCACATGGACAGCTTTGATAGGACTTCTGGACACTGCTCCCCATAGGAGCCTCCATGCATTGTGCTATCTAGATGTAATATATTGCTACTACCTTGACAAAACATGCTTTAAGTTATTAAAAATGGAAAGTGCAATGTATACAAAAATGCTGTGTTCTCCTTATTATAGAAAAGTGAACTTTGATAAGTGGAAGTGATTAGCCTATAAAATTTAACTTCCCATTTATTAACTTAACCCAGCAATGTTGGGCGTTATTAAATTCTTAGGGTGGGAACCACTATGACCAATAAAAAAGTATTTGCCAGCCAAAGTGCAAATCAGTAGTTCTACCTTTAGCTAAAATTTTATGTATATGCCAAATATGGCTCATAAATATCACTTCATAATTTGGAGGACTACAAATTATTAGCAAAGAGTCACAACCCTGTCTTACCACAGGGGAAAAAAAAAGTTTTTTCAGAAGATCTTCAGATTTTTATTTAACTTAATAATCCTGTTAAAAATATTATAAATAACCTTTTGTTCTAATAGTATAGAGTTTATGTTCTTCAGGCACTATCTAATGAGGCAAAACTTTGTAACAGACTGGAGTTTTAAACTCTTAGAAATTTTTATGTATATAGAATTATAGAACAATCAGGATCCATCAAGAAATCAAGTTTTAGATATATAAGATAGCAGAATGAATCTAAAATGTGGTAGATTGAAAATATTAATTTGACTGATCTCTAAAAAATTAAAGGTCATTTTTTATAAATGCTTTTTAAAATTTACTATTTGAGATAGTACTTTCTGAAAAAGGGGGCTCATAGTTATATATTGCTATACATTCCAGTGTCCTATTTTAACTCCTTTCCTTAATTATACTGAGGTTACAGACATTTTCAGTCTCTTACACATATATAGTATTCAGGGCAGTAGCATTTGGAAATGATGTATCGGAAATAGAACTGAACTTCAGGTTCCAGGGAGCACAATGAACACACCTTAACAATTTTAATTGGCCATGATATCACCAAGAGGTCAGCAGTAAAATCTGTATTCCAAAGTTTATGGCAGTCATTTTATAGATTTTGATTTAGGGTTAGAGCCTGCACAGCAATTACTGATCAAACCGTGATATTTAAACTACTGGTCTCAAATGCAGGAGCTCCTACTGAGCAGTCGGAGATCGTGACAAAACCAAGCAGAAGGTCACAACTTGCTGCTCTGTGCAGTCGCTGTCCTCTCCCTATAGCTGGGGGCTGTAATCCTGAGGGTGTTTGCACTGGATGTGTGCAAACACAGATCTCCCGTGTCCTCCATCTGCCTGCAGTGCTAAGGACCAGATGCACTGTGACCCAGGCCAGGTGTTAGAAAGCAGGGGAGAGAGGAGCTAACTAGGGAAACCTTCTAAAGGTTATGTTCATGATGACAAATGCTGTGCAAAGGGTCATAAATGCACTTTCACGGAAACCTGCAGATAGAAAGGATGTTAGTGAGAGCTTCTTAGGATGGTGCATTCCCCATCATTTAACACCCGTAATGGAACAGCGTCCTCGTATTTCTCATGACACTGTTATTCTTCTTAATGGGGATTAACAGCCTTTCGTGTTATTTCCTGTCTAGATTTCTCATGAACTAACATCCCCACATCAGATACTATATTAGCCAATAATAAGAATAAATGACAGACTGTGTAGTTTCTTGCCTGACAAGGGTGCTGCATTATCCCACCACACAAAGAGTACAAAGAAATTTCTGGGGTTTATTTATTGTTTTGGCTATTACATAAAAATATTACAGAAATAAAAACCCTGAAGAACTAGTATGGTGTGGTATTGCTCCAGTCATAATGTGCTAGTACACAATCAATTCTTATAAAAGCTTTTCTCTTTCAGAGTAGTTTAGTTGTCCAAAGGGAATAAATAATTTACTGCTTGTTCAATCTGGTACTTCTCTCCTATTATTTTAAAAAATTTATTCTGCTTCACATTTACCATATAAAGCATTCTTTGTTTACAATCTGACCATTTAAAATCCTTTGCCTCTTTTAGCACATAGAGAAGACCCTTGGTCAAGTGAGCTCACCAACAGGATGCTGTCAGCTTGAGAAGAGTTCAGGTGTACATTTTATTTTTCTTATTTTTGAAACCAGTATGGACTGCACTGATTTATTTTGATGTAAATTTTCACAATTTCCACATTTTCAAATGAAAACCCTATACAGCTTATCAGACACAGGCACATATGTATTCTTAATGCATAATAAGGTGAGGTTGGATGGGGCTTTGAGCAACCTGGCCTGGTGGAAAGTGTCCCAGCCCATGGCAGGAGGGTTGCCACTAGATGGTCTTTAAAAACCCTTCCAACTCAAACCATGCCATGATTCTGTGGTGCTATGATTCTTAATATAAAAGAATACAAGTCAGTGATGTCAAACTGGTTCACAGCTGTCTGGAAACTACTCCACAAAGTTGTCAGGAGACTCAGCAGAGACAGGTTAGAGCACCTTGCTGACACTAGAGGTGATCATGTCTAAAAGAGGATCACATGGTGGGAGCCAGCAAAACATCAACCCTGGTGACACTACCCACTGACAGATGCAGAAAGAAGTTTCTCCTTGCCCTGGACAGAGCAACCCCAGAATGTCCCCCAACCTAAGACTTCCTGGAGAGGAACAACCACAAATACCAAGTACCCACATTTTTAGCAAATGAGATTGTGTTCAGGCATTTAGTTATTGCTTCCATCCAGCAGATTTTTTCAGACTGAAGTCTCAGTATTTCCAAGGAAAAACTACAATGTTTCTACAGGAGTCAAGCCTTAATTTATCATTAAGAAAGAAAAAAAACCCTGCCTTCCCAAATGTTTGCATCTTTAAATTATTTGAGGAATAATTCTGAAAATATGAGAACAAAAATGAATGCATGAAGTAGCTCAGCACTTGTCTCTATCAGTGGTGTCTTCACCTAAGAAACACGCAATTTAATTTTCACTTTTCAATTGTCTTTTTCATACCAGTTTACTGGTGGGGGAGAAGTCAGTATTTACTAGCAGAATGAACAGTACTTAGAGGATCAGATTTCCAGTTCAACTTTTCACTTTTATCTCTTCCCAAGCAGGTATGTAGCAGTGAACCTACAAACTCATGAGAACAACTGCATGACCCATATAGCCTACCCCTAAAATCTTTTAATGACAGTGTCTAAGTCACTCATTTTTCCATCCAGCAGATTTTTTCACATTTTCACAGATGAAGTCTCAGTATTTCTAAGAAAAAATACAATGTTTCTACTGGAGACAAGCCTTAATTTATCATTAAGAAAGAAAAAAAACCCTGCCTTCCCAAATGTTTGCATCTTTAAATTATTTGAGGAATAATTCTGAAAATATGAGAACAAAAATGAATGCATGAAATAGCTCAGCACTTGTCTCTATCAGTGGTGTCTTCACCTAAGAAACACGCAATTTAATTTTCACTTTTCAATTGTCTTTTTCATACCAGTTTACTGGTGGGGGAGAAGTCAGTATTTACTAGCAGAATGAACAGTACTTAGAGGATCAGATTTCCAGTTCAACTTTTCACTTTTATCTCTTCCCAAGCAGGTATGTAGCAGTGAACCTACAAACTCATGAGAACAACTGCATGACCCATATAGCCTACCCCTAAAATCTTTTAATGACAGTGTCTAAGTCACTCATTTACTGTCCTCAGTATCACACAGGCATTCTGAACTGCATTCAAATCTCAGACGTCACAATATTTCAAAATATCACGGTTACTTGATTAGAAGAGGGATCTATACTAGTGCAACACTTTCAAATGGGAAAAGATGCATCAAACTGTCTTCTAATTATATTCTCTATGTTGGCCTTGCTACTGGTGTGATTTCTTTCTAATTTCTGCTCCAGTGATCACTGGTGACTCTCATGGTCATGGTAAATGGTCTCCTGGTACATTTGCAGTATGTTCATTGATGTATTTTTCAACTAAAAGTGTTATGAATACACAGTGACCTGTGAATGATTTTGAGGGCTGACACTCAACTGTTGACCCTTAAAACTTTGAAATAACTACATAAAATATTTAAAGACAGAAATGAAAGATAGCTCTCTCTAAAATAGAATTTAATGACTATAGGGAATTTAAAAATAACATGTGTGACCACCCTAAAACACAGTGTCATCACTCCAATTCCAGACTGAATATAGCAAAACCCTACTGCTCGTACTGGAGTGAATACAATACAAGATTTAGATAATGATTCCCCATTATACTGCGAAATCCTGACAGTAGTGGTTGAA